GTGAATGTGTGTGAGAGAGAGTGTGTGTGTGTCTGGGAGTGTGTGTGTGAGAACGTCAGAGCACGAGTGTTTCTCACATCGGCTCCTGCTAATCTAAACGCATGCGTGTTCTCACGCGGCACACAGAACTCGGCTCACGTTCTGATGACGTGACGTTCTCCGTGTGCTTCACCCTGAGTCGATTACATGTGTCCCGCGTCCACTCGCTGAAGCGCTCGTCCATAATAATCCAACGGGAATGCTGGGAATCATCTCAGTTCCTCTCGATCTGCTCGATGTCCAGTTCTCCGCCCAGCTGGAACGAGTCCCGCCCCCTCCGGCTGCAGAGCCCCGCCCACAGACACTCACGCTCCTTCCCGCCGCTCCAGCTGGCCTCTGATTGGTGGATGACGGTGTCCTCTTTGGTCTGGTGCTGGTCAAGCGTGACGTCACCCTCGTCGTGGAGCGTCTGCTCGTCTCCAGTGAATCCTGGACAGCTGAGACTGTGAAAGTCCTGCAGCTTCTGTGGGAAAAACACACATAGGTGACATTAACAACAGAAACACACGTGACATCAGCAGCAGCGAGTTACTGTTCCTCAAACTCAACTTCACAGCTCAACCAAGACCGTTTTTAATGGCGTCTAAAGTGCAGAAATGACATCAACATCAAACTTCTGGCTAAAATACAAGTCCATAATCCATAATAACACTTCCTCCAGTGAAAAAGTGCATCTCCTGTTGTCTCTCACATTTGTTTAGAGCTGTTTAAACGCTGCTTGATCTGTGCAGATTTCTCTCCTGATTCACACCAGAACACTTTTTCACTGGAGGAAGAGTTATGGATTATGGACTCAGATTTTAGCCGTAAGTGATGGTTTGAAGTTAAAAACGTCTCGATGGATTTGTTCTGTTGATTAGCCAATCACATGTCTGATATTTCACTAATGACAACTAACTGACCAGCTCTTATTCATTACATCAGCGGTCAGGCCTCGTTACCATAGAAACAGAATATTTGGTTTGTAAATGGAGCCGTTTTTCCACTGACACAATCATCAACATTGTGTGTGTGTGTGGCTACAGCAAACGATAAACACACACACACACACACACACACACACACACACAGAGAGAGGGTTGTGCTCATGTAATGCTTCAGTTCTTATTCCCGGAAACAGTGCGTTGACCGGATGACCTCTGACCTCAAGAAGGTGATCAGTGACTACAGACGTGCGGTTTATCAGAGAACATCACTGGAGTTAGTACGGGGTTTATTACAACAGAGACAGACAGAAACAGCCTCACATCCTCATCTAGTAGACAGAAACCATTACAAACCCAATGAACACAGTAATCATGCAGGAACAAACACACAGGTTTCCATGTTTTATGGGTTCATTCCACAGGCGTAATGTTTTTTATACTGTACAAACTGTATTTTCTATCCCCTTACCCTAAACCTACCCCTCACACAAAACTGCAGGCAGTTTTACATCTTCAAAAAACTTAATTCTGTATGATTTATAAGCTTGCTTCCTCATAGGGAGCAAAAAAAAAAGTCCCCACAAGGTCAACATTTACTGGTATTACTATCCTTGTACTGAATACCAGGTACACACACACACTCACACAAACACGCACACACAAACACGCACACACAAACACGCACGCGCACACAAACACACACACAAACACTCACACAAACGCACGCACGCACACGCGCACACTATCTCACACAAACGCACGCACGCACACACACACACACACACTATCTCACACAAACGTGCACACACACGCGCGCACGCGTGCGCGCACACACACACACGCACACACACCTGTGTCATCTTGAGCAGGTCCAGTGAAGGCCTGTGTTTGTGAGAGTCCGCCGGTCTCCTCCGCTTCACGCCAGTCTTCTTGTCGTTGTGGACGCAGGGCTGTGACCGGCTGCGGGCGAGTCCCTGTCTGCGGTGCTCCAGCTCCGGCGTTGAGTCGGGCGAGCTGGACTCGGTGGGGCAGATCTGCTCGTGCGAGAGGTAGAGAGCCTGTGGCGTCTGCGGGGATGCGGAGAAAGGGAAGCCGTGGCTGAAGGTCTCCGGCGGATTGATACGTGTCGGCAGGCTGAAGCTGAAACTGCGCTGCATGGCGGGAAACCCGGATGGAGCAAAGGCGCCGCGCTGAACGCTTCCCCCACTGTGGCAGCGGCGCTTCTCCACGGCCGTCCACACGCGTGACCCCTGCGGCCGCCACGAGGAGCGACAGCCGAGCTCGCCGGAGCATGACAGCGAGCGGCACTGGCGTTTGCTGGGTGGCGCGGCGCTGCCAGGAGAGGGCGCTTCGCTCAGACTGAGGTCATGCAGCAGACCGCTGATGCCACCGGCGGCGCCCGCCTCACGAGCCGAGCACGTCTCTCGCACGCTGTCCCACAGACTCTCCAGACTGGAGCCCACGGGCCGCTGCTGGACGCCACACACCCCGCCAACCTCCGGCCAGCGTCCAGACTCTACAACACACAACAGCTG